TTTCCATCTTCCATACATTTAGTACTATCACAGATAATGGTACTCATCTCTTGACAATATTATAGCAAGTGAAGCCTAAAACTAATGTTTTCCATAAATAATTTTAAATAAGAATGCAATTTATGAGTTTATTTAAAGTTTAAAAAAATTACACTTCTAATATTGAGTGGTTAGCATACATTTAGTATGGAAGCTGGAAACATTAAATTTTCGGATAGATCCCGTTTATTCTGTAACTTGTTATTAGTACCGTTTGAAAGAGCTCGTGAAGCACTTTCAGGATCAGTAATCAGTTTTTCGATATCTTGTATAGTTTAGAAATAATCGAGTGAGATCACTTATCGTTTCCACCCTGTATAGAGAGAATATGATAATCATACCTATTAATATTACACATGCGAATGTTTGTGAGGATGTATGGATGTTACATGTTATACATACATAAAAACTATTTTACGTGAAAAAGTAACAATATACTAGTGTATACGGATTTTGATGAAAGTTTACAGTATTATTCCTGAAACATAAGATTAACACATTAGGCTATAATTATAACGATATGTGACAACTAAATTTCACGCGGGTGAATCCGTGGGAAAAACTATTAATTTATAATGATCTGTTGCAAAATTAATTTAAGCATGCTAGTAAAAAGCTAGTCACTGCAGATTTCATAATATACGCTTTGATTCAGTCACGAACACGCGAGCAAAACCAAATGCTAAACCTAGTTTCTGAAACTAAGTTACATACATTCTAGTCCTGAAGCTGAATTCTATTCACTGAAAATGCGATAGTGTCGTACACATAGTATATTCTATAATATTATGTCATGGTTATGGCCTCTTGAGGGAAAATAGCTGAGTGTCCGCTCGAAGCAAGCTAAGTTATCTTGATAACAGAATAATATACTATGTTATACATTTTAGGGTATTCACAAGCTCTACAATAGAAGGGATGACGTAATATACATATTTGGAGTACAGTCAGCTTCAAATAATTCATGATACCTAGGCTGGGTTGCACCATTTTCTTTAACTTTGAAAAACGTCAAAAATCTGTCAAACTCCATACAAAAACACCAGTTATCGTTATAGTTACGGTCAAAGTTAGGTGGTGCAACTCAGCCCTAAAGTGGCCAAAAGGTTGATAGCACAACCAGATTAAAAATGTAACAAATACGTATTGCAAACTTATTGGCTACCTTGGGTGTCACGAATAGTTTAATAGTTCATGACGCTGACTGTACACTGTGTAATAAAATATTCAATTTATATTAATTTGTTGCACACGCACCTGTTACTAGAAGCTACATGAGACTATAAGGAAAAAATATCAATAATGTATAATGTGTATGATTTTTTACATACTAGCTTTTACCCGCGGCTTCACCCGCGTGAAAAGTTTGTCACAGATCGTCATAAATTATAGCCTATGTTATTCTGGGTAATAAAAAATAATACTGTAAAGTTTCATCATGTTAACATCCAGACATCCATACAAACTTTCGCATTTATATTAGTAGGTACGACTTGTAAATGAAAAGTAATGAATGTTAGTTAACATTTGAAGTTAATGTACTATACCACCGCACACACACAACATAATTAAATACTGTGTAACTTCAAAATCATTCTTCAATCTTTGTTAAGGTGCAGTTCGAAATATTATCAAGTTCAAATTTCATTTGTTTCCTCATAAATGGCGATAAATACAGTATTAAAGTGCATGAGTGCTGACCGCAAATCTTTATTAATATTACTTCAATGTTAGTACCTAATATTGTTCGAAGTTAAATTAATTTTCCTTTACCAATAGGTAACTATTATTACGATATTGTATATACTTATGTACCTAACAAGATTAATACATTGTCACACTACTACATTTAATTTTACGATACTTAAAATGTGGAAAGCCGTGCAATATTATGGATGTTTAAGAAATTTTTATTCAATACTAAAGACCCACCTCGGCTTTGCACGTGTGCTAAGTTTACTATAAACCTCCCTCTTGAATCACTATCTATTAAAAAAAACTATCAAAATCCGTTGCGTAGTTTTGAAGATCTAACTTCACATCAGAAAGCGACTTTATTATACTACGTAGTGATAGTGATTAATAATAATATCTATTTATCTTCCTATCTAAACATTGCTTTAGAACAGTGGTTCTTAACCGGTGGTCCGCGAACCACTGGTGGTCCCTGGAGGGATTCCAAGTGGTCCACGAAGTGCACTTGCACACCTTGGTCTAAATCACTTTTGACTGGAAAAATCGGTCAAGTGATATTGACTAAGGGCATCAGTCTAAACCACATTTAACTGATTTTGCATTCAAAAGTGGTTTTGACCGATTACGAGTTTTGACTGTAACATAATAAATAAATAACTAATTGTGTGGTCCCTGACAGGACAAACATTTGGTAAAATGGTCCCTCATGGCTTAAAGGTTAAGAACCACTGCTTTAGAAACTGCAGATCTCAGAATGTCCGTCGGTTCTCTTTCGTCTGGCAAACAAAGTTATCAATAACTACGTTTCCGATTCAATTCTTCCAGTTTCGTGCTGTTTTCAGTTTTACGTCGCCTTAGATTTAGAGGAAAATGTATTTTCAGATACACTTACCGGATTTGAGATAGGTTTAACTGAAAGTATAGCAATAAACACAAAATTCTGTATTTTAGTTGTTTAAGTTTATTTGAGAAACTATTTTGGAAGTAAAAATATAATAATTTTATCTTTTATTTGTACAATAAAAGTTATTTCTAAAGAAACACACTTGTTTTTGTAAAAGTGCTTTTTAAAAGCCTAGTAGCAAAAATAAAATGAGTTTTATGAGTTTTTTAATTTGAGTTTGGCACAGCACTTTTAATTTATTTAAAGATTTTTAAGCAATGTAGGTACCTACTTATTATGTATGAGAAGGTACATAAAGCTACACATACGCTTCTTAAATTGATGTATTAAGAGCGATTTTGCAACCAAAATGCACAGTTTGATGTGATGACTAAAAACCAAAGAACAAAATTTCGCCCTATCACAGTATAACAGATATTTCTATTTTTCTCTCTGTTTCATGCCTTTGAGTTTTATGACATTCACAAGGGAAGTGAAAAGGTGTGTTTAAATAGTTTATTATAATTAAATATTTTATAAATGTTTGAAAGTTTAATATAATTTATTTTCTTTTTGTCTGGTAATCTGTGTATTGTGATTGTGTGATTTTTTGTTTTTGTTTTTGTGCTTGCATTGGTGCACACTGGGTTGGCCATAACCTTTGTTGGGCTAGCGTCATGAGTCGCCTCCAGTGTTGTACAATATTTTAATTTCATGATTTATTTTTTACTTTTTTCACCCGCTGAAAACCAGGGTCGGGGCACGCGTGTATGCACGCGTGGCTCGATTAATGCTGAGCGGGCGCCTTTTTGGCACAAAAATATGCGTGTATAGTTTTAAGTTCCTTTGTTCTATTTTTTATTTTTTCTTTTTGTGTCAAATAAAGTTTTTCTTATCTTATCTTATCTATGTAGAACCCGATCGACGAGTTAACAACGCACCTCGTTGAAACGCGACTCTTCCTCGCACTCACCCGCGTTCACCCCGTTCCGTACCTGAGCGTCGATGTGACGTCACAGCTACCAGATGCGCAGTTAACTCGATCGGGTTGTAAGACCTCGCAGCGACACCGCTCCGGCGTCGCATCGCCATCGTAACGCATCGTGTGCTTTGGATTTAACTTGCTCCATAAATTCTCATAAAAATCTGCTTTTTTTCACGCAATATTCGTACGTTATGTAATCGTACGTTTTACAGTCATACTCTGCCTACCGCAAAATGGTTTGATATCTATATTATATAAAGCTCGATTCCTACTCACTGACTGACTCACTGACTGATCAGGGGTATTTTTGGGGTATTTAGAGGGGAGAGGGGTAAAATTGTAGGTGTTTATCTCAAACTAGATTTTTCGACTGCCAGCTTTAGTATATTTTTTGAACCAAAAAACAAAATGGCGGCACTTTTTGAAACATAAACTTTTCTGTCTTTGGTCCTGAATTTTTTCTTTTTTGGTGGTTTGTTGGGGTTGCCAAGGTGTGTTAAAAAATGTGAGAAAAAAATGGAAAAACAAAATGGCCGAGCCGCCATCTTGGATTGAAAATGCAATTTCAGGGATGTGTTTGGAGAGGTGTCATTCCGAGATGCGCAATTGTTTTTGAAAATTTCTTTTGGGTATTTGTGACTTGTATAGTCTGCTTCAAGGCCACATTTACAGATTATCAAAAAACAAGATGGCGGCTGAGCCGTCGGCCATTTTGTTGCGATCAAAAAATTCCCAAACTTTGGTAGCAATTTTCCGGCAGATGGCGACACCGGAGTGGGGTACAATGTTCCGGGCGATTGTTGGTCTGTTATTCGAGTGTTGCCATGAATCGGAAAAAACTACCATTTTGGAAGAAAATTTTCCACCACGGCCCCGGATAGTAGAAAATGGAAATTTCCAAAAATTCCATAAACTTGGAATGCAGTCTGGTGACATTTGGGGACCCGAATGACATTTCACCATTTTTATGAAAAAAGTCTGGCAACACTGAAAGTTATGGGGAAAAGTTTTTTTTGCGACATGGGTGTCTTTAAAGTTAGTGACAGACAGTCCGGGACACATGGCGTGTGACGTCACACTCACCGCGATGACGTGCTCGACGATGGTGGCGGGGCTGGTCTCGTTGGCGACGCGCAGCGAGACCTCGCACGAACAATACGGCTAGCACGAAAAACTTTCGAGTTCAAATCGTTTGCGTACTCGAATCGCCATCAAAAGATTTAGTACGAAAACTACAACAGCGCCCTTGTGAACGTGTCGTAAAGTGAACTTAGTGTATGAAATGGTTGCACGAAACTTATTTTGAGAATCAAAATTGTGACGTTATCGTTTAATTCGAAGGTTGAGTATCGAATTTTATCGAATACGCAAACGATTCGAAGACGAAAGTTGTTCATGCTAGAGGTACAGTCCGGGACACATGGCGTGTGACGTCACACTCACCGCGATGACGTTCTCGACGATGGTGGCGGGGCTGGTCTCGTTGGCGACGCGCAGCGAGACCTCGCACACGCCGGCCGACACGCCCGGGTATAGCGACGTGAACTGGCTGAACCGCTCGAAGAGGTCCGGGAACCACATCATAAGTGTGTAGTAACTGGAAAGATACAATAAAGAACTTGCTAAAATTAAAAGTTTTGGTGGCTTATATTCTTCTCTATTAGAATGTGAAGGAAACCGATCGCGTGGCAGGTCACCAATGCGCTGGACCGACCAAGTGAAATCAGCAGTGGGAGACGGCGTATGTGACTGCACCAGACAGTCTGCCAATAGAGAGATATCGGGAGATCGTGCGGAGAGTTGTATCCGACTCTACAACCTATGTGAACAACGCCTCAACGTGACCACGACCGCTCTGCCATTGGATTATGCAAGGTGTCCTGAATACGAAGGTTCCCTGTGGTGGACAGGAAGTGAAAACTGATTTCAAGGATTTAAGTAAATTAAACCACCAGTTCCATGATCTGGTAAAAGGGAAGTACCTGGATGCTTGCAGCGCAGAACCAGTCGTAGTGGAAATCTTTGGGACAGGCCTTTGTCCAGCAGTGGACGTCATTTGGCTGACACGAACCAGTTCGTAATACATCCGTACTTTCATCAGTGAAAATGTGAATTTCACATTATGAATTTGAAAATTGAATTTGAATTTTGAATCTATGCCATTTGAATTTGTAACAGACTGATCATCACTTACCATAAGGTGAAATACAGGCCAAGAGCTTCCTTGTTGTGGATAAAAAAATATTTATATACGAATTTGGTCCATGCAAAGATATTTACCTGAACATAAGTCCAAAGTCTACGAAGCAGCAGAGCACTAGAAGGCCGATATAAGGCGGCGTCACCAGCATCTTCTTGCGGACCCAGAACGCTTCCCAGCGCTGGTTCCAAGTCAAGGGCGTCTTAGTTTCATTGCCGTTCCTGTCTCTATCGCCTGAGACTATCTCCTCTTCTTCGCCGTCTTCTGAGCTGATCATGGACTCCACCTGGTAGAGAAAAATAGATAGAACGCACTTTATTAATTTTATTATACACTAAACTTTCCGCCAGTCGGCCAAATTTTGTCTGTCACAGAAAAAGTTAATCGCGCGCGTCCCTGTTTCAACAACCGGGATAAAAACTAGCCTATGTCCTTTCCCGGGACTCAAACTATCTCTATGCCACATCAAATTCGGTTCAGTGGTTTATTCGTGAAAGCGACACAAGCAGACAGAGTTACTTTCGCATTTATAATATTAGTAGGGATCATACAAGACGAAAAGAAAGAAATTCACAAATGAGACGGCACATTAGGTGGCCTTATCGATATGTAGCGAGCGATCTTTTCTAGACAACCTAGAAAACAGTTGCTTAGTATACCTAAGTAAAAGTAAAAAAAGCTATTTTTCGGACAGTCACAAAAGTGCTTAAAGCTATAGTTATTTGTAGAAGCACTTAGAGATAAATAGATAGAGATAAAACCAAAGCTATAGAAAGCAGTCTTCTACAGACGGCGCCTCATGTTTAACAATGTGGAACCTTATCTACGTCAGAAACGTGTAGGTACTTAGTCTCGAATGTGCCGTTATCTGTACTCGTGCAGTTAAAATTTTGTTAGGGGAATAAGGTATCTACACTCATAAGAACAAAATGACTAATAGAAGATCAATAAAAATGGCACCATTTTAAAGGTGATATTATAAACTTTAAATTGATACCAAAGATACATACAATAGGTACATAGTCATTCAGTTCTTAAGACCACTCGGAACACAAAGGGGTGATTCTATACTTTTGCTCGTAAGTATAGTTTGATAAAAAGTTACTCACAGGGAAATCCTTCTCACTCAACTTCGTGTTAACCACGAAGATCCTCTTCAGCACTTGAAGCGCTTTTTCTCCCTTGTTCACGTGGAGGAGGAACCTCGGGCTCTCTGGGAAAGGCATCAGCAATAACACCACCAAGAGGGAGGGAATTCCGCAAGCAGCCACGAACACTCTCCAAGAGTTGTAGGTGAAAGACGCGTCTTCCGCCGTCAGGTTGAATGTATCGCCTCGGATGATGCCGTAGGCAATACCTGGAAGATAGCAAAATAAAAGATGTGATTGCTGGCTTTTAACATGTTTACTTAATAAATAAACATGCATGATCCATTTCAAGATAGCGAGCCATCGATTAGAGCAACAGATAATGTTGAATTGAACTAAACAACCAGCACAAAAATCCAAATTATCTTATTTACCAAAGCTAATGCGTTTTCATTGTCCACGGCAAAATGAATCATTTACATTTACGTTTAAACGCAATCAAAGCATCCCTTTCCACTTAAATGATAATAATGGCGACCACGAGCGTGGAAGACGTAGTGTGGGCAGGCCTCCCACTAGGTGGACCGACGATCTGGTGAAGGTCGCGGGAAGCGCCTGGATGCGGTCGGTGCAGGACCGCTCTTTGTGGAAAACCTTGAGTGAGCTTTGTCAAGCAGTAGACGTCTTTCGGCTGAAACGAACGAGGTACAGTGCAATCAAGAACTAACCTGGCAACAAAATAGTGCCGATTGTCCAGAATACTTCCAGCCGGCACAGCATGACGTCACGGTGCCGCAGCGAGAGGAAGTCCCCGAAGTAAGGGAAGATGAGCCCCGTGGCGCCGATGATGCCGAAACCCGAGAAAAACCTGCAAGAGGGCGCAGTCTACAACCAATAGTTACGTCGGGATAAATGCGAGCGTGACGACCATTGACTATGTTAAAATCATTAGTCATGAGCGTGAAATTAATGTTGTCTCGTGTTTTTGTTAAAGACCTTCTTCAAGAACTTGAGGTTACAATCCTGCAGATATCAGTCAACAGACTTTATGACCTCATAAGCTGGCGGTTTGTCATTTTATAAATGCGAATATACCTGCAAGCCAACTGAAACTGAATCAGATTCTGTAAATTCTGCTATGTAACCAGAATCTACAAATTGACCACCAATAAAAACCCAACCTGGGAAGACTAAGTTTGTCCCGGGGGAAAGTCATTGAAACCACAACTAAATTAATCAGCAGAATATAAGGCGTGTAGTACCTGGATGCGGACAATGCAGAACCGGTCGTTGTGGAGATCCATTTAGGAATCCTTGGACGGAATTTGGTTGAAACGAATCAAATACGAGGAGTTCGAAATACATCAACTTTCCTATCAATACAAAGTGGAGGACAAGTAACTAATATTAAACCTTAATCACAAGAGCATAGAAGTTAAAGTGCAAGATACCTGCAAGCCAGGAAGGCGGGGAAGGACTGCACCACGCTGGAGACGAAGGCAGCCGTGGCGTCGAGCAGCAGCGCGCCGATGATGGCCTTCTTGCGCCCGCGCCCGTCCGCCAGGTTGCCCCAGAAGTACGAGCCCACGCACATGCCTGGAAGGAACATTATTTTATTCATAACTAGCTTTCCGCCCGCGGCTTCGCTCGCGTGGAATTCTGTCTGTCACAGAAAAACAATATCGCGCGCGTATTTGCTCACGGTTTAGACCTACCCTGGACTACGACAAACATTTTAAAACCAAAATCAGCTCAATCGGCCCAGCCGTTCTCGAGTTTTAATCAGACTAACGAACATCAATTCATTTTTATTTATATAGATTTAATCTTTCACGTTCTTCATTATAATTTTTAAGCATTTAGATACAAGTGACACAACAGAGTGATCACAAGCTGTATCTAAGTACTACTCATGTACCTACTACACAATAAATATCGCGTTAGAGACCCATTATTCTCAAAAATCATAATTTTCTGTTGAGGAGGTTAGGAGGAAACTGTCTAGTCAATACGCTGCATTTGCGTTAGCTTAAATGAGATAAAATAGACTTTGAACTAAATCCATCGTATAGTATGTAAGTAAATAGACAGAAAGAAGCATATGATGCTGAAAATGTTGTCCTGAAGACACGAGAAAAGGTATTTGACAAGGTAACTAGGTACTGAAGAATACGAATTTAAGATTACCTCTACCATTACTATGCTCAATCCTCAACGATGTACAATGTTAGATGGTCATCCATTAGTTTATCATCTCCTTAAGTTTAGCATATCTATCAGGACTCTTGTCTAGTGTAATGGATGGATGAGATAAATAATATGGTACCTTTTATCCAAGTCCAACTTACCAATAAGCGGTGTAGCTGTGAGCCGCCCCTTGTCGCTGGAGGTGAGGTTGAAGTCCGACTCCGCGGCCGGCAGCACAAAGCTGAGGGTGGTGGTGCTGATCGCGCAAACAGCATACACTGCGCCGCACGACATGAGCAGCAGCCATTGGAACAGGCCATAGCCTGGAACAGAAGGAACGTGTGTTAAAAGATGTTTAAACTGACTACGAGTATTCCTAACTCTATTATAACACCACTATTAAAATATGTAATGTGACACGCAATAAACGATTTGAGTCTACGCCTGTAAAATATGCGGTAGCTTGATGGGCCTTAAATGTTGTTTCGTGTTCTTCGTGGTATTGTAAATATCTAGGTAATACCACAGAATAATAATAAGTACATACTCGAGAAATACGGTAACTTAAATATACAAAATGTTTACAAATTCGAGTCGTGGAAAAATATACGTGAAAATTCGAGTCGAGATAGAGAAAAAAAACAAAAGAACATCAATATTAGTCGTCGAGAAAAAATACCGGTTTTGTTGGTGGCCAGTATCGCGCAGCCAAGGAGGAGGATTAAGAGGCGATGGTTGGCGCCCGCAACAATATTTAAAAAAAAAATTAAAAGAACTTCCAAAATTTGACTACGATCATTCATTTGTTTTAATGACTGGAGAGTTAAGGAGATATTGATCAACCCTAATATTGAGCACTGGCTATGCGCTTTCCCAAGATGTTGCGAAGAAGATAGAATAATTGATGCAGGATACTAACCGTGATAATAAATATTCCATTCAATGAACTTTAGTCCAGCGCGGCGTGAAAAAGGTATGACTATTGTTATAAACGCCTGAAATAATCTCGCCATTTATAGTTCTTAGACAAGGAATTTGCTAATACCACATCACAATTAAATGTAGGTAAGGTAGAGCTCTGCATTTTACCTACGTTTTTAGAAACTTTAGTGTGGGGTGCGCCGTGCGTACCTATTATACCAAAAATAAATTTATATAAAAGTCTTAATACCTATTACTTTAACACTCTTTAGTCATAAGACTACCTAGGTATCTTTACTACCATTTCAACGGTAACTCTAAAACCATTTCAACTCGTTGTTGGTGCCAAACCGTTATGTAGTACAAGCCATTAAAATTTAACGTCATTCATACAAATTATATTACTCGGCGAATGCACTTCAATCTATTGTCGCCATTAACGCAAGTGTTTCAATATCGATCCAATTTACCGATCAATGAGCGCTCGCGAATCGATGACGCGAAATAGATCATTCGCTGCCCTGACATTGAACTGGACGCCGGGATTTTATTACCAGTACAAAGGTCTATTAATAACAATTAAGCGGAATTGCCACCTCCAGGGCACGGTCACACCATAGGCTGTGCTTGTAAACCTAGTGGTACACTAGCCTTCATGACTTGTGAAGTCTGATTTAATATTAATTTTTCATTTCATAGTCATAGTCATTTATTCCATAAACAATAACAATTTGGTTGATAGTAAGACTAAGTTACGCCTGATTTAACGTAATAAGTAACAAGTACCTACCTACAATTTTAGACTGAATCATATTTAGGTAGGTTAAGTCAGTCTGCATGGGATTAGGGTTGCCAGGTCCTAAAACACAAAAGCCGGACTCGTGCTTCATTTGGCCAGACATTTTACCCGAAAAGCCNCATAGCTTACATCCTGATGCGTGCGCTTGATATTATTCTGTACCTCGACTTTCGCCTGGCGCGGCAACCACATAAAAAGCCTGACAAAAGCCCCGGACGGGCCGGACAAGAAAATTTTAGGCCAGACACGACCGTAAAAATCCAAACATGTCCGGCTAAAGCCGGACAGCTGGCAACCCTACATGGGATACACGTTGGTAGAGTAGGGTACCACCTAAGAGACATAGCTTATTCTCTTTTTTGTCATGTCGACAACAAACCTACACAGTGTCAGCCCAAAACTCTGCTACACTAGTGGCGTTGACAGCAGCATTCATTAAATCTTCTCATCTTCCTGCGTGCAGTTGTTTTGTCACCCTTTAAGAGGTTTTACCTCATGATAAAGGGTAGGCTCAGTTCAGATGTCCTGATAATGACACTCGTACACTACTAAAGGGCTACTAGTCCAATGTGATTTAGTTCTAGAATGCTCTATTTAGTATAATCCCTACGTACTACGGCCCAAGGCTGTGCGTGGTTCCCGATTAATTGGATCTGGCCGTTTCGTAAGTAAATCGCATTTGCGGCTTAGTGGCGGGGTCAATATTTTGATTAGTTATATAACTTTACAAAATTCAAATAAACAAAATTTTTTATTAATTAAAAAATATTAGCCCATCGAATCCCAAGCGGTCGCTTAGGACCATTCTCTTATACAAGTTACTCTATGCTTAGGACCGCGTAACAATTGATTTATAGGTATTGTCTCGATTAGCAAGGCTTGAAGGGATAATATTTTTGACGTCGTATCCTATATTTATCAGTCTCTCGTGAATTATATGTATGTCCTAAAACATAATTAAGGCCGGGTAGCAGAGAAAATGGCGAAAATGAGGTTTTCATCTTTCATTTTTGAGGTACTAAACAGTAAAATTAAAGGCTAAGATTTTTATTGGGCATAGTTGAGGATATTTTCTAGGGCTATTAACGGATGGCAACACGATTTGATGAAGTTGACTCGATAGAATAAATTCCCAAAGTTACCTCTATTCGTTTTCTATTTATGGTTTTATTTTTAAAATAAGCGATTTGAGATTCTAAATCTTTTACTAAACTAAAGTTCAGAAATAACTTGAGGGCTTTTAACGGATGAAATTTTTATATTGCGTCTTATTTAGTTACTATGTTAAAAAATGTGGAAAAAATCGTCCATGACGGCTTGGACAATCTCAATCAGTCGCGCGGTGGCGCTTACGGAGGACGGACGCGTGTCAGTTTTTTGGCCGTGACAGTTCGCGATTTGTCAATATTTTTGACAATGATGACTTTGATGAGTCACAGTATAATAATATCAGTGTTACTGGAGAAAGCTTAAATTTTTGATAATTAAAAATTATCAATTTTGTCTACCTATTGAAATTTAAATCGTTCGCATCCTTTTAAACGAAGACTCTACTCATGATACATAGTACATTCCTCAAATATGAGACAAAACCAATGAGTTAAAATTACATTTTAATAGTACCTACATACAATCGTCTTACACTCTTTAGAAGAGCACACTGACACAAATAAATTATCAAAAATACTGTCTAAGGTCTGTAGCTAAAGGTCTAAGCTGTAAGATAGAAGAATCTTCTAGCCAAAAAGATGGCAGATGCAGCAGATGTCAACGGATTTAAAACTGGAGTTCATATGACTCCTTGTAGACTTGAGTCTCTAGAGCGTCCCTTCCTCCACCATGCGTAAGAATGTTTCAAAAATACTGTCTAAGGTCTGTAGCTAAAGGTCTAAGCTGCAAGATAGAAGAATCTTCTAGCCAAAAAGATGGCAGATGCAGCAGATGTCAACGGATTTAAAACTGGAGTTCATATGACTCCTTGTAGACTTGAGTCTCTAGAGCGTCCCTTCCTCCACCATGCGTAAGAATGTTTCAAAAATACTGTCTAAGGTCTGTAGCTAAAGGTCTAAGCTGCAAGATAGAAGAATCTTCTAGCCAAAAAGATGGCAGATGCAGCAGATGTCAACGGATTTAAAACTGGAGTTCATGTGACTCCTTGTAGACTTGAGTGTCTAGAGCGTCCCTTCCTCCACCATGCGTAAGAATTTTCACAAAAATACTGTCTAAGGTCTGTAGCTAAAGGTCTACGCTGCAAGATGGAAGAATCTTCTAACCAAGATGCAGCAGATGTCAACGGATTTAAAACTGGAGTTGATGTGACTCCTTGTAGACTTGAGTGTCTAGAGCGTCCCTTCCTCCACCATGCGTAAGAATTTTCACAAAAATACTGTCTAAGGTCTGTAGCTAAAGGTCTAAGTCGTAAGATAGAAGAATCTTATAGCCAAAAACATGGCAGATGCAGCAGATATCAACGGATTTAAAACTGGACTGGCACCACCTTGCAATGTCATCCTCTCATTGTTATCTGTAATGTAAATTATTTTTAAAATTTATTTAAAAAATAAAATGTTCGTTTTATTATTTCAATAATCTGACCTCTCAACTCAACTACACTACACAAACACCTTTGTTCGCAACTGTACTGACGAAACCTCGAATTTCTGCTCACGATGGACTAATTATCTGCTATACATACTCTCGACTCTCTAAAGCACAACATTTTTTATTTATTTATTTAAGGCAACATACAGTCATGTACAATCAATAGTACTATAGTAAAGATGAATATGATTAAAGACCAAATTAGTGCCTATAACATTTATAGCTATTACAATATTGGTTACAAATGAGCCACTCTTAGGACTAAAATTTTTAACACCAAGCCAAAACCTAGTGCACAGACAACAGCATAATATCGAGCCAACCACTATGGAATCTTATGTAGTTGTAATAGTTACTTTTTGCAACTAAAATATATGTAGATCATGATCCGACATGCTGTCAGTCGGAAACAAAATAAAATAAAACAGAAAAAAAAATGAGGAACACAAAGATAGTGACAGATTGGAAAGCTATTCACTAGCCAAACTATGAAAAAGGACGGATTTGAGCTTTGATAATGTTACATTAAACAAATCAATTTCTGTGAAGTTTTTATTGTAAACGTTAGTGGAACGATACATGAATGAGTTACGAGTATAATTTTTACGATATCGCGGGGTAACGAAAAGTGGTTAAGTACGTGAGGAGCGCACTGGCAGACGAACTCGGGATTACATTTATAAAAATTTTGCTGCGGTAATGCACTCCAGGTAACCGTGTGTGATGCTTATTGCTCATAGTGATTTTCGATACAGAGCCCCGTACATACGTTATACATAAATTATGGAAAGAAAACACCCAGACCAATACAAACAAATATGTATGCAATTTTAGTATGATATTTTTATTTATTAATAAACAAAAAGACTGAACAAAATTGATGCGTGTACTGATTAATGTAATTAACCACATGCAAAGCTTTGTGAATTGCAACAACTATAATTAATTATTCAAGCTCTAAATAATCGCTACTACGAGTAACTGATCATAAAATGTTTTTCC